GATTTTGACCCAGTGACAGTGAAGGAAGGGCAATATGGTTTCAACTCAGGAGACTGAGTGATTGGAAGGGAGCTTATAGGAGATGATGTTCCCGTGTATCTGCTGCCCTTGTCCTTCAACCCTAATGGCAGTAGAGATCGCAGATTTCAACAATGTTATGGAAAGAGCCTTAGTGTGTTGCTGCAGAGCATCTTGTAAATCATAATGCACAGCGGCTGCAGTGTATGTGGTGGGCAGAGTGAATGTTGAAGGTGGTGGATGTGGTGCCAGTAAAGTGAGCTGGATGGTGTCAAGCTTCTTGAATGTTGTTGCACCTGCATCCATCCAGGCAAGTGGGGAGTTATTCCATCACACTCCTGACTCGTGCCTTGTAGACAGTGGACATGCTTTGGAAAGTCAGGTGGTGAGTTACTCGCTACAGGATTCTTGGCCTCTGATCTACTCTTGTAGCCACAATAATTATATCTCTGGCCAATAGTAACCCCCAATGGTGGAGAATACAGTGATAGCAATATCATTGACTAAAAAGTTGGATTCTTTCTTGTTGGAGATGGTTAGTGCCTGTCATTTGTGTGACGTAATGCTACTTGCTGCATATCAGCCCAAGCTTGAATATTCTGCAGGTCATGATTTTCAGTATTTGAGGAGTTGCAAATCATAAGCAAACATCCCCACTTCTGAACTTATGATGGATGGAAGGTATTTGATAATACAACTGAAGATGATTGATTCTAGGCATTGCCCTGAGGAACTAAGGTGTCTTGTGGTGCAGTGGTAGTGTCCCCACTTCTGAGCCAGGAAGCCCAGGTTTAAGTCATATCTGCCCCAGAGGTGTCATAACATCTCTGAACAGATTGATTAGATGATATCTACCCTGAGGAACTCCTGCAGTGATAGCCTGGAGTTGACAGATCTCCAATAACCACCAGTGTCTTTCTTTGCCAAGTATGACTCCAACCAGTGAAGAGTTTTTCTCCTTGAATTACATTGACTGCAATTTTGCTCAGGCCCTTGATGTCAAACTCAATCAAATGTTGCTTCATCAAGGGCATTCACCCTCATTTTCACCCATTGAGTCCAACTCTTTTATGTATGGATCAAGTCTGTAAGAGATCAGGAACCAAGTGGCAGAACCCGACTGAGTGTCAGTGAATAGGTTATTTTTGAAAAAGTGCTGTTTGATAACACGGTCATCAACAAAATTCTTCGTTTTGCTGATGGCCAAGTCTAGATTGATGGGACTGGGTTGGATTTGACTTGCTTTTTGTGGGCAGGACATAGCTGGGCGATTTTCCATATTGTTGGGTAGATGCCAGTATTGTAAGTGTAACTTGGCTGGGGGTGCAGCTAATTCAGGACCACAAGTCTCTGGTATTATTGCTGGAATGTTGGTAGGGTCCGTAGTCTTTGCAGTATCCCAACGGCTTCAGAGATTTCTTGCCATCGTATGGAGTGAACTGAATTGGCTGAAGACTGGTACCTCTGGAGAAGGCCAAGATAAACAATCCACTTGGTACTCCTGGCTGAACATTGTTGCCAATGCTTAGCCTTATCTTTAGCAGTGATGTGCTGGGCCTCCCTTGTTGTCGAAGATGGGGATTTTTATGGAGTCTCTTCCTCCAGTGAGTTATTTCATTGTCCACCACTATTCATGACTGGATGTGGCAGGATTTCAGAGCTTAGATCTGATCTTTTGGGTGTGGAATTGCATAGCTCTGTCTATCACTTAGTTTTTGTTGCTTAGCTCACAAGTAATCCTGTGTTTCAGCTTCACCAGGTATGCCTGGTGCTGCTCCTGGCATGCCCTCCTGCACTCTCCATTGAACCAGGGTTGATCCCTTGTCTTGTGGTTAATGGCTGATTGAGGGATGTGCTGGACCATGAGGTGTAGATTGTGTAGGAGTACAATTCTACTGCTGACAGTTCTTAGCGCCCCATGGAAGTCCAGTCTTGAGTTGTTATGAAGCACTTTTGTCAGCTGACCACCGAAGGTGCTTCACAAGAATATTACCAGACAAAATTTGGCACCGAGTCACCTAAGCTATTCAGTCATATGATTAAAGCCTTGGACAAAGAGGTCAGTTTTAAGTAGTATCTTAAAGGATAAGAGAGCTTTAGGGAAGGAATTCCTGAACTTGGGTCTTAAAGGGATTTGCAAACAAGAACATGATCTTTACAACAAAGAAATTGTTTAACCAGGAGTGTGTGTAGGTCAGCGTGAACAGCAGTGATGGCTGATTGGGATATTATGTGAGGGAAGCATGTGGGCGTCAACACTTTGGATGAGCTGAAGTTTATGGAGGGTGGAATCTGGGAAACTGGACAGAAGAATGTTCTGCCATGGCTTAACGAGTTAAATAAAGATATGGATGAAAGTTTCAGCAGGAAATGTAGTGAGGTGAACGTAGTGCCAGACAATGTTAGAGGTTAAAAATAAGTGATTGCTGTAGTGATATCGGTATGTGCTCAGAATCTTATCTTGAAGGCAAACCTGACCCTGAAGTGTATGTTTCATGGGTGTTTAATGCAGTAATATCAGGGAATGCCACTGAATCCACCACTGACCCAGAGTTCGTTGGGAAATTAATGTTTGGAATGATCACCTATTCCAAGAAGCACTGACTTCCTCATAGAATAGAAGGCACTCGTTCTATCCTTTGAGCATGTTCTGCCTTTCAGTTAGATATTCGATGATCAGTATTTTATCTCCATCTACCCATGGTTCCTTATTTTTTTTTTAAACATAACAATTTAGTTTTTAATTATTTTAATAAGTAATTTGAGACAGCAGAGACGCATAAGGCAAACAAAATGAGGGACCCCATCTTCTGACCTACTTTACATGACTTTAATATAGTACTGAGAATGCTGTGTGGGTCTACAACAGTACAAATTGTATAAAATAATGGGCTTATCCTTACACTGATACAGGAAATGGCAACCATTGAGCGAGTTATGCTAGTTTGAATGATTGAAAACAATGAAATGAATAACTTATCTTGTAACAAATTTTTAAAAGCCACATTAGGAGCCAAACACAAACAGAATAAAAAAAAAAGTTTGCAAAAATGGATTTTTGGGGATTGGAAATCTGGCTTGGTCAAGTATTCCTACCATTGCAGACTATACTAATAACCATTTAATTTCATTCGTTCATATAAACTGGCCGTTTTTATTATTTATAATCAAATGTAATAAGATTAACCAGCAAGTGACAAATGACAAGTGCTGGAGAGAGTCGGCAGGTCTGGGGAGAGCAAAGAGGTTTACAAGGATGAACCAGTGACAAGAAACAGCAGTTCAAAAAACGGATTGGAGAAGGTGGTATTATTTTCCTTGGAGAGATAACTAAGAGGAGATTGGACAGAATATTTCAAAATGATAAGGGATCTGAACTGATGGGTAGGAACTATTCCCATTAACAAGGATCAAGAACAAGATGGGGACAGCTTTAACGTGTTTGCAAAAGAAGTAAATGCGAGTAAGTAAAAAAAACCTCTCTCAATGTATTTCGAGTCTGGAATGCACTGCCTGGAAGACTAGTGGAGACAAGTCTGAGGTATTCAAGATGGAATAGGATGATTATTTGAATGGACTATTGTGTGCAGCTTTGGTCTCCTTACAAGGATATCCTGGTTACAGAGGGAGTGCAACAAAGGTTTATCAGACTGTTTCCTTGGATGGTAGGACTGACCTATGAAGAGCGACTGGATCTGGATTCACTGGGGTTTAGAAGACTTGGAGGTGGAGATGTTGATTTCATACATCTATAAAATACCAATTAGACTGGATAGGTTGAATGCTGGAAGGGTATTCCCAACCAGGGAGTTTAAAACCCAGAATCAGGATACAGGATAGGCCATTTAGGATTGAGATGAGAAGAAATTTCTTAGAGAGTAGTGAGCCTGTGGAATTCTCTGTCACACAAAGTGGTTGAGGCCAAAACACAATGTTTTCCAGAAGGAGTTAAATATATCTCTTTGGGCCATAGTATTGAGTTGGATGATCAGCCATGATCATGTTCATAAAATCCCCACAGTGAGGAAACAGGCCCTTCGGCCCAACAAGTCCACACTGAACCTCAGTGCATCCCATCCCCCTATAACCCACCTAAGCTACACCTCCCTGAACACTATGGGACAATTTAGCATGGCCAATCCACCGAACCTGCACATCTTTGGACTGTGGGAGGAAACCGGAGCACCCGGAGGAAACCCACGCAGACTCCACACAGACAGACACCCGAGGCTGCTGGGGACAGGTCTGTCAATGTATTGTACTGGGGTACGGTACTGATGGGGACAGGTCTGTTGCTGGAGACGGAAATAATTTGTGGTAATGTGTTAAGATTTCATTGGCGTCCATGCTAAGTTTTGTCTGTTTACTTTGAAACGGCAGTTAGTAATTAATGGAGTCTGACTCCAGGCTGTATTGAGATGGTAGAAACACAATGGGCCAAATGGTCGTACTGTAAATTCCCCTGGTCCAGGGCCTACCCTCACAGGAGCAGGATCCAGTATGCAATTCTTCGTGTGAAAGGGGAATCTTAGTGCACTTGGTAAGCAAAAGAATGTAGGAGCTGACTGTGTTTTAAAAAGCCACAACCTCAAGGAATGTAGACAGTGCCAGTGGCAAACCTTTTGCCCCATAGCCAGTACTGGATGAATTTTGAATATGCTCTATATTTGAAAAGAAAATGAATAATCTTCAAAAAGGAATTGGATAAACACTTGAAAAGAGGAAAGTAATAGAGTTTGAGGGAAAGAGCAGGGAGTGGGATAACTCATTTAAAGAGCTAGTGCAGTCACAATGGGTTAAATGACCTCTTGTCCTGTAAAATATTATTTTATTCATCTGTTCCCATATTTTTCTTATGTTTGACAGTGTTTAATGCACATGCTTTGCACACTGGCGTAATGTTCCTTGAGGTTTGAGTCTTTGCTGTCTCAAGTGGCCCTGCCTTCTTTCAGTCCAGGTTTTGTCAAAATTGCAAAGTCATTCTGTGCTGTTTGACCTCCACCAGATCCTATTCTGTGTCACTGAACTTCCTGATTTGTGTCTGCGTTTATACTACTGTTGCATTCCTTCCACTTTACTCCCCTCTTCATCGTCTGTCTCAACCCTGGTGAGTGCTGGGTTCTGGCTGGGTTTATTGTGTGTCTGGGTGTTAAGTTTAAAGGGTTGAACGGCGACTTAATCAAGGTGTTTTAAAATGATAACAGAATTTGTTGGATAAAACAAAGAACTGCAGATGCTGAAGATCTAAAACAAAAAACCGAAATAGCTGGAGAAACTCAACAGGACTAGCAGCACCTGTGAGAAGAAGATAGTTAACTGGTTAATGAAGAGTAACTGGACTTGAAACGTTCACTCTGCTTTCTTCTTGTGGAATTGGATGGGGTAGATTAAGAATAACTACTTCCTCTAATAGGGGAATCCAGAATCTCAAAAACTTTGAAATGGAAGTGGGGGCTCTTCAGGAGAGAAATCAGGACGTGATTTTTTTCGCAGAGAAAGGCCTGTCAAATATTTTTCCCACAAAATGGCAGTTTTTTAAAAATGACACCAATAGAGTTTTGTTACATAAAGATATTTAGATATGTGGTACAAAGGTGTGTGGAATTGTAATGTAGATAAGCCATGACAGAAAGCTAGAACAGGCTAAAGGGGGTGAATGGCCTCCTATCTCTACACTTTTGTGGTTGCGTTTCAGGCTGCAGTAAGTCACATGACCAGGTTTTCGATGATCGTTCCATTAATATTTTACAGTGTTAAAGATGCCACGTGAGCACGCATTGTTGTTATCCTAAGTAGTAATTTCTTTGGAGGAATTAGCACTAGGGGACTCAGTTTTAAATCTAAGGGGTCTTTCATTTAAAATGGTGACGATGAGGTTTGTTTTTCTCTTGGAGCATTGAGAGTTTTCCCCAGAGAGCGATGGCGAATCATTAAATATTTTTAAGGGAAAGAAAGAGAGAGAGAGAGAGAGAGAGAGATTTGTGACTATCAAAGCAGTCGGAGGTTAAAGGGGGTAGGCAGGTGAGTTGAGGCTGCAGTCAGATCATCTGTGATTTTGTCAATTGATGGAGCAGCCTTGAGAACCAAATGACCTACTCCTGCTCCTAATATGTTTTATCAATAGTGTCATTTGGGTCAGACTTTGCATTTGGTTGACTATTAAGACTCCGATTAAATATTGAAGAATAGAGGGAGATCACCTGGAGTCTTGGTAACGTTTCTCCATTAATCAAAGTCACCAAAAGTGGCTGTTTAACTAGCTACTCATCTTGATGCTGATTGGATTACTCTCGATACAGGATGGCTGCATAACTGCAGTGATTGCACTTCATCTATTACAAATCTATGTAAAACATTTCTGGAAAATTGTGAATCGATGTGATGGAATGTATGTTTTATCAACAGTGGGTTTTCTGGATTTGAAGGTAGAATCCAAATGTCTTGCAGTGCAGAAAGAGACTGTTTTCACCATCCTGTCTTTGCCAGCTCTTTGAAAAAGCTATCTAGTTGAGCCTTGTGGCCCAACCTTTACCCCATACGCCTGCAAATCGGTCCTGTTCAGGTACAAATTCAACATCATTTTCAAGGGTTCCTGCTGGACCATGATTTCTCCAGGGTTTATCTAGTGCATTCCAAATATGAGCTGACCTCTGGTTTGGGGTAAGTCTTTCCCAATTTCCTCATTGACAGCCAATCCACTTGCTGTATCAAAACCTCTCATGCTTTTGAGCATGTCTACTAAATCTCCAGTTGAACTTCACTGCTGTGAGGAAAATAATTACAGCAAGGTCCCTCATGGCAGACTGGTACAAAAGGTGAAGTCACAGGGCATCGGGGTAAGCTGGCAAGATGGATACGGAGCAGGATTAGTCATTAGAAGACAGAGGGTAGCGTTGGGAGGATGCTTTTCAGAATGGAGGGCTGTGACTAGTGGTGCTCCACAGGGATCAGTGCTGGGACCTCTGTTGTTCATGGTCTACATAAGTGATTTGGAGGAAAATGTAGTTGGTTTAATTAGTAAGTTTGTGGACGATACAAAAATTGGTGGAGTTGAGGATTGTCAGAGAATATAGCAAGATAAAAATGAGTTGGAGGCATGGGCAGAAAAATGGCAGATGGCATTCAATCTGGACAGATGTGAGGTGATGCATTTTGGAAGGGCAAGTGCGGGTGAAAATTATACAGTAAATGGCAGGACCCTTTGGAGTATTGATATGCTGAGGGATCTGGGTGTGTAGGTCCACAAATCACTGAAGGTGGCAGCGCAGGTAGATAAGGTAGTAAAATAGGCCTTTGGCATGCCTGCCTTCATTGGAAGGGGCATTGAGTATAATGATAGGCAAGGTATTGCTACTGATTTTATAGGATTTTAGTTTGGCTACACTTGGCATATTGTGTACAGTTCTGGTCACCACACTACCAGAAGGATGTGGATGATTTGGAGAGGGTACAGAAAAGGTTTACCAGGATGTTGCCTGGTATGGGGGATTTTAGCTAGGAAGAAAGGTTGGATAGACTGCGTTTGTTTTCACTGCAATGCAGGAGGTTGAGGGGTGAACTGGTAGAAGTTTGCGGTTGTGAATGGCATGGATTGATTGGAAAGTATGAGGCTTTTTCTCAAGGTGGAGGGGTCAATTACTAAGGGACACAAGTTACAGGTGCGAGGGGAGTTTAAAAGAGATGTGCGAGGCAGGTTTTTCACATAAACAGTGGCTATGAGCTGCCAGCAGAGGTGGTGGAAGCAGACAGAATAGTAGCATTCAAGAAACACCTGGACGAATACATGAATAGGAATGGAATAAAGGGATATGGATCCTGTAAGTGAAGACCGTTTTAGTAGGGAAGGGCAAAATGTGTCAGTGCAGGCTTGGAGGGCTGAAGGGCCTGTACCTGTATTGTTTTGTTCTTTGTTCTTTCTTCAGTCTCTCCAGGTCACTGAAGTTCCTCATTCCTGGTAACACTGTAGTGAAACCCGTCTGCAACATCTGAGACTTTGACATCCATTCAAATGTTTCATAGAATAGAATCCTTACAGTGTGGAAGCAGGCCATTCAGCCCATCAAGTCCATACTGATCCTCCAAAGGGCATCCCAACCAGACTCTCCTGCCCCATCCTATCGCCGTAACCCTGCATTTCCCATGGCTAATCCACCTAACCTGCACATCCCTAGACACTACGGGTAATTTAGCATGGCCAATCCACCTAACCTGCGTATCTTTGGACTGTGGGATGAGATCAGAGCACCTGGGCAAAACCCACACAGACACAGGGAGAATGTGCAAACTCCACAGAGAATTGTGCAAGGGTGGAACCGAACCTGGGTCCCTGGCACTGTGAGGCAGCAATGCTAACCATTAAGTCACCATGCTGCCCATCACATTACACAACATTAACTTAATCTATTCCCTCACTTGAGCTAATCTCTATGGTTTTGTTTTATATGGGTGTTGCATTATAGGAAATCTATTTCCAATGTATTTCTATTAAGTCATTCCACAACTGGAGCACAGCATTCAATGTTGACACTTCAGTGCTGTACTGAGGGAGGTACCAGCCTTCAGATGAGACCGTTAAATCTGAGTCTCTGTCTACCGTCTCAGCTGGAAGTAAAAGATCTCTATTTTGAAGGCGAGCAGGGAATTTCTTCCTGTAATAAATGCAAAATACTGTGGATGCTGGAAATCTGAAACAAAAACAGAACATGCTGGAGAAACTCAGTGAGTCTAGCAGCATCTATAGAGGCAGAAACAGAGTTAACGTTTCGAGTTGGAATGCATTCTTCCCTGTGTTGTGGCTGGTACTAATCCTTCATTCAGACTCCGCCAATCCGACTATTTGATTTATTATCAAGTGGGCTGCCTTTGGGAGCTTGCTTTGCTCATTGATTTATGATTCCTACACGGCAATGGTAACTACCATTCAAAAGCACTTCATTGACTCTAAACTGCTTTGAGGTTTCTGGTGGTCAAGGAAAACAGTATAAAAGTCTTTTTATCAGATTGTTACTGATTCAGTCTGACCGTATTGGTCAGTTGTTGTGGGACTGTGTGCCAGTGTCTGACTGTCCTCCATAACTCAGGGTCAACTCCACTTTCTCCCCTTCCCCAGTGTTTCTCTGAAATCTGTGTCCTTTCTTCTGGCAGGTGGCAGCGGAGGGATGCCCAAGAAGTTTCAGGGAGAAAACAGTAAATCAGCAGCTGCCAGGGCTCGGAAAGCAGAGCAGAAGGCAGCAGCAGACGCTAAGCGACAACAGGAGCTCGAAGACGCCTACTGGAAAGATGATGACAAACATGTGGCGAGGAAGGAGCAGCGGAAGGTGTGTTACTTCTTCATCTCAGAACTCTTGACGCGTTCTCATGTTGTGTCATTGTTCCAGGCTGAGCCCCACACTGAGTAAGAGCCCAGCTTGCAGTGTGTGTGCTTAGTTGATTGATTTCACCATCTGTGCTATTACTCCCCTCCCACACTCTCAGGACAGGGACAGCATAGGGTTAGATACGGAGTAGAGCTCTCTCTACTCTCTTACTCTGAAAATAATGATGTCTCTACACTGTCCCCATCAGACACTCCCAGCACAGGGATAGGATGGGGTTAGATACAGAGTAAAGCTCTCTCTACACTGTCCCCATCAGACGCTCCCAGGACAGGGACAGCACAGAGACAGATATAGAATAAAGCTCCCTCTGCTCTTTTAAATGGAAAGTAGATGTTCCTTGACACTGCCTCCAACAAACACTCCCAGAACGGGGATAGCATGGGGTTAGGAACAAAAACAAAGTTGCTGGAAAAGCTCAGCAGGTCTGGCAGCATCTGTGGAGGAGAAAACAGAGTTAACGTTTCGGGTCCGGTGACCCTTCCTCAGAACT